AATTGGGCCACAGGCTGCGCAGAGGCTCATCACTGTAATTGCTTCTTCGCAGCTGTGGCCAGCATGAGCCTGGTGCGTAGCTCATACTTCGTTCTGAGATCCCTCGAATGGTCTTGGCGCTGTCCAGCCTGTACGCACCCTGAATCTGCCTCTCGAGATCCTCCAGCAGGTGTTGTGTTCTCTCCAAGGTCTGGATCGCTGTCTCCAAGCCAGTCATGAACAGAGTTTGCAAAGGGAAGTCTGAACCGGTCACAAGTGACTTGCAGACAAAGCACAAGATGCAAACAGCTTTATGGACAAATAACAAGCCCCTGCATAGGAAGCCTTCCATTCAGCATCCTCGCCACATCCACATCAAGAGCCCTTTAGGTTTCAGACTCTGTCCTTTCAATGTTTCAGGACATCCTTGTCTTCTGGTCACACACTCCCCAGCCCCTGCCTCCCTGCCCTGGCTAGGGGGAGTCTTTTTTATAAAGAACCAGTGAAACCAGCACCGAAGCCTTGCAGTAACGTGTGTCGGTGTGACAGGAAAACTGCCCATGTTCCAGGTTGACCACACTTGCTTGCTGTCCATTTTTAGCCCACAGCTGAATGCATGGATGATCCAGTTCACTATGGAAACTACTGAGCCAGTGTGAAAGCACTGTGGTTTCCAGATTGAGCTTCATCATCTAGTATAATATTTTATATCTGGGATCTTGGAGGAATGGGTCTGAACCTTAAGGCAGCCTCCTGAACTTGGGTGAGCAGTGACAGAAAAATGTCCATGGTAATGTCAAAGGTTGCTGGAGGGGTCTATCCTGGGAAAGGACATGCGCAATTCCCATTAGGAGACATATCTATAAAACAGGAGGAAACGTGTGTGAATTGCAGATTATATTCTGGACTTCCTGTATTTGTCCTTGGCCTCATACCAAAAAGCAGTGACAGTTTTACAATTCAGTGTCTTAAATCATCAGGACTATACAATTAATTTTTTTCACACTGACATCATTAGGAACCTGAAAAATCTCCTCTTTCCAGTGGTAGGATAATGTGCAAGGGCCTAAGGGTCATTTAAGTGCCTGACTCCTTTGGGAATTCAAACCTAATTCTCATTTCTGCCTTTGAAAACGGCCCTTTTAGGAGCCCTGTTAATTCACAAGGCATTGGACTTTTAAACAGCAAATTCTTCTTGTCTTCATTCTTGTTTCTTATCCCCATACTTATCTCTGGCATGATGAGAGCTGTCACTGCAGTTTGGAAGCCCACATCCTGAACACTAATAAAGTGTCACTCAAACTCATCAGAGGTGAGTTGTCAGACTGAAATGGGGGAGAAGAAAGAAAACTGGCAATCAGGATGGCATGATTCTGGAGTCCAACTTCTGGCATCAGTGCTAGAAATATGCCAGTGAAAGAGTAGAAATCCTGTTAGTATGATTTTCCAAGTCCTCGTCCTAAACAAAGGATCGGAAAGAAAAAATATATAGTTTCCTGCATCGCAATAAAGACTTGCTCCTGAACACTCCCAGTTGGACTTTTAGGAGCCCAGTACCGCTCTAAGGCAGGCTCTTAGTGCAGAGATTTTTTGATGATACGTGACCCTTGAATAGGATCCAGTTTCCTTCTGCTGTTTTGCTAGTACTGGCAGGAGTGAAATGTAGTTGTTTTAGACACTGCGGTTAGAAAATCTGATTTGGGGATGACTGCAGGAGCAGAACTTAGAAGGCTCTGAGCTGGCATAGCCACCTTCTGGGCATATCTTTAAGGAGCTGAAAAATTACACACTCTTCTTAAAGAACCACTGGTTTCCTCCTCGCTAATTAAAGGATCTGGTTTTGCAGTCACAGGAAGGATTCATGAGGAGGAACACGGAAGAGGTGATGAGGGGGAAAGGCGTGTAAGTAAGTAAAGGGTGGATGAGAGTCCTTAATACACCATTCTGCGTAGTATCCTCCCCTGATGCAAGTGGGGTAAAATTGTCACGGCCACTCTAGGCATATCTGATGATGCAAATCAAAGCTGTCTTTCAAACAACAATCTCTTCCCCTCTCTATGACTGCCAATTCCTTTTTGGCTTCTTGTCTCCAGGACATCAGAAGAAGTGCCAGTTCTTGGACATCTATTATGTATATGTTGCAGTTGACCTTCTCCGTAGGGATATGGATGTCTTCAAACCTATCATTTCATGTGCTCTTCCACAGTGTGGGTGGGTGTCTGGAAAGCAATGGTATCTCTGATCATACCTGATCACTGTCCTCCAGCGTTTGAATGAAGGGAGCAATCAGTATTCTGTATCTTTATGGTGTGGCTGAAAGAAGGTAAATGTCCATAGTCGCTGCTGGGAATATTTATTGTCCTGGTTTCGCTGTAGCTGACAGAACCATTAAAAATGATATATATAACCCTTTTAGCAAAGGTATAGGGGAAGGGCTTACGATACCATGGGCTAATGATACTGTGTGATGGCACCATTCTGCACAGGCTACATTTTTAAAGCGACAGCATTTTTTCAAGATAAAATCAAGAGTTTCTGGGCAGAATCTATTTCCATAAAGAGCAAATGCCTTAATTTAATAAAGTGTTATGGTTGGTATCTTTCTTTGGTGATGGAGAAGGAAAATTGCTATGGTAGTATTAGCTCTGATGGAAGATACAAACCTTTCCTACCAAGATGTACTTAATTCATTAGCATTTAGCATGGGGCGTGTGTGTGTGTGTGTAATATATGCACATATAAATGGGAATAAGTTGCTGTCTTTTGAATTGCTTTGTGAGCCTTCTGGTGATTCAGTGTTCTCTGTTTTAGAAACCAACCAGAGCACCAGTATGAACATATCATTAATCTTTGTATGCTGCATATATTCAATAAATACAGTTATCATATTGTACTTTACCTGTTCAGTTCCTTCATGTTACTGTTGTGCAAAAGGCAAAAGACACTTCACTTGAAATTCTGTATGTAGCCTTATGGGGAGGTTAATGTATTTATTTGATATCAAGGAGAATATACATTGTAATAAGCTCTGGTGCTGAAAGGGATCCGACTTGTTGACTGACTTATAGACACACGACAAGACTGTTTAGTGGCAAGACGTACTTAACAAAGCATCGCCTGCTTCTCAGGTTAGTAATCATGAGGATGTTCTGATAGACGCTTTCCCTTGGAGACTCTCAAAGTGCTTTGCAAACTGCAAAGATTTATAGCACCCCTGTTACTTACTGTAAGTAACTATTATTGGCTTCATATTTAAAGGACGGGAAGAGACCCATGGATTCCTGACTTGCATCTTTCTTCCCCCAGCTCTGCTCACATCATTTAACCCCATTCTTTTTTTTTTTTCTTTTCTTTTTTTGTTGCAACATAGCACAGCTCCCAGGAATCCTGCATGATATCCCAGTGATAGGAGGCATATAATACTTTTGATAAATGAGGCTCTGGCATGGGTTGAAGTACATAGACACTGCATAAGCAATAGAATCATGGAAAATGTAAAGCTGGAAGGGAGCTCAGGAGGTCACATCTAGTCCAACTCCCTACTCAAAGCAGGACCAGCCCCAACTCCATCATCCCAGCCAAAGCTTTGCCTAGCCAGGTCTTGAAAACCTTTAAGGGTGGAGACTCCACCACCTCTCTGGATAATCTGTTCCAGGGCTTTACTACCCTCCTAGTGAGAGAGTTATTCCAGATATCTAACCTAAACTTCCCTTGCTGAAGCTTGAAACTGTTGCTCCTTGTTCTGGCACCTGCCACTAATGAGAACAGTCCAGCTCCATCCTCTTTCAAACCCTGCTTCAGGTAGTTGAAGGCTGCTATTAAATCCCCACTTAGTCTTCTTCTCTCCAGAATAAATAACGCCCAGCTCCTTCAGCCTCTCCTCATAAATCATATGCCCCAGACCCCTAACTATTTTCATTGCCCTCCACAATTTGTCCACATCCTTTCTGTAGTGGGGGCTCAAAACTGGACACAGGACTCCAGATGTGGCCTCACTAGTGCCAAACAGAGGGGAAGAATCACCTCCCTTGACGTGCTGGCAACACTCCTACCAATTCAGCCCAGGATGACATTAACCTTTGCAAAAAGGGCACAACGTTGGTTCATATTCAGCTTAATGTTCACTGTGACCCCAGGTCCGTTTCTGCAGAGCTGCTGCTTAGCCAGTTGGTCCCCAGCCTGCACCGGTGAAGGGGAGTGTTCCCTCCTAAGTGCAGGACTTTGTACTTGTCCTTGTTGAACAGATGCATTGAATAGATGAATAATATCTCCTTGATGAGAATAGTTATCTCTGCATACTTTATAGCCAGCTATGCCATGCTTTGCTTTATGTTCAGAAAGCCTGCAAGCATTAGAAGATCTAGTATAAAGCTGTGCACCAGTCAGGTGGCATCTGGTTCAAACTCTACATCTGCTTGGGCAAAGCAATAGCATAAGACCTTGTGGCGCAATGGTAGCGTGTCTGACTCCAGATCAGAAGGCTGCGTGTTCAAATCATGTCAGGGTCAAATCAGACTCCTGGCTAGATCTCTGTGTCCAGGAGTTTATTTCTACTTAAGTAACTGAGGGAAGTGGGCAAAGCTTGCTGCAGACCTTAAAGAAAGCAAAGCTGGAAGCAGATTTGCTGCTACTATTGTACATATTCATGGTGCCATCCTTTTTCCCTTCCAGCTCTTCCTTCTGGTCACCTCGAACCCTGATGCTTTTTGGAATGAGCACGTGTGGCAGGAAGGCTTTGACTCTGCTCAGCAGTGTGTTTGCTGTCTGTGGCTTGGGCCTCTTAGGAATTTCTGTTAGCACTGACTATTGGCTCTACCTGGAAGAAGGAATCATCCTGCCTCAAAATCAGTCCACTGAAATCAAAATGTCACTGCACTCTGGGCTCTGGAGGGTCTGCTTCCTGGCAGGTATGTAAAAAGAAACTTGTACAAAGAAACACTGACTGATAGTATTGCATGTGGTCTTAATGGGAAAGGGCCGTCTCCAAGAGCATGCAACTGGGAGCCAGGAATTTTAGCTCCTATTTCCATCTTTGCCACAGACGTCCTGCGTAGCCTTGGGCGAGCAACCATGCCAGTTCGTATCTCAGTTTCCCTAGTTGTCAAATGAGCAAAACGTCCTTCTCCCACAGGGGAAGTGTCATTCCTCAGGATCAGGTTGTAACCGTGCAGAGAAGTGGTGGCACACAGCTAGGGTGCCCAGAAGCACAGGAGAGAAGGAATTACTCCCAGCCACTCTGACTTTCCTGGTTCTTCACAGACTTCATCAGCAAAAGAGCCTGCAATTGTTCTGGGCTGAATAATACAACATTTTCAGAAGTCAGCTGCTTTGTTTTGTTCTTTTCCCCCCTTTGGGACTGTCAGTAAACCAAAACCATCAGTCCTTCCTACACCTTGAGACAGGAGCACTCCCCTGGGAGGTATTGGGAGGTCCCGATCCTGCCCTTTTTGTTTATAAGAGGGCCCGAGATGCATGGGGAAGGGGAAGGGCAGGATCATAACTGTGCAGTCCTGTTCTGCAGGACCATTGCCAAGCTTGCACCCCTGGTTGAAAAGAGTCCCGGGTAGCAAAGCCAAGATAACTGCCCTGAGGGGTCTCTATCTGTGGCAGGGCTGGGAATCTGTCTACGTCTCCTGCCTCCTGGTGATTTTACCCACAATGCTTTCCTTTTATATTAATAAGACATTTTATATCAAATGTTAAACTTTTGGCCTCCTCATCCGACTTCTCTCTACCCAGTTTATGAGTGTATGGTCTGAGGACATCTCCCAGACTGGTAATTAGCTTTCAGGGCTTTTTCATAGCAGAGAGCAATGGTTTACATTTAGTTCATTAAATAAACCTTAATAGTGCAATCATCTCACCCATGCATTTACCACATCTTGGAGCTGTTTTTTTCCTTTCCACTGCCTTCCCAATACATTTTCTAAATGGCCAACACGATGGGAATGCTGTATCAATTGAGTTGACATATTTCTGAGCTATACGTGAGTCCCGCTACCACTACTCCCTTGGCTATCATTCTTTCAGCAGTGACATTTTAAAAGCCAAACAGCTGATCCCTCAAGGATATAGTAATGGATATTTTCACCAGACAATTGCACTTAGGACTCAAAGAACACCAAAAAACCCAGGTTTGCTTTATATGCCCGGATATGTGTTTTATTTTAAATTAATTATAATTTTAATTAAGTTAGAAGCATGATTCAGATTCTCCTTCCTGCAGGTGAGGAGCGTGGCCGATGTTTCACTATAGAATATGTCATGCCCATGAACGTGCAGCTGACATCTGAATCAACAATAAATGTTTTAAGTAGGTAATTTTTTTTATTATATCCCCTGTTCTTTGCAGCCAGCTAAAGTGCTAAAAGGTCACAAAGGCAGACAAGGTTTCATAGTTTTAGGGTCGGAAGGGACCTAATAGATCTTCTAGCCCGACCCCCTGCCAGGGCGGGAGAACAACAAAAGAACCCTAAACAAAAAATGGGACTCAAATGAGTCCAGCCATGTAGGTATCCAGCCTCTTCTTAAAGACCCCCAGGGTAGGGGCCAGCACCACCTCCCTTGGAAGTTGGTTCCAGCTCCTAGCCGCCCTAACTGTGAAGTAGTTTTTTCGGATGTCCAATCTGTACCTCCTCTCCATCAACTTGTGCCCATTACTCCTTGTTATGCCAGCGGGGGCTAGGGGAAACAGCGTCTCCCCCAAACCCTTCTGGTTCCCCCTAGTGAGTTTATAGACGGTCACCAGGTCCCCCCTCAGCCTTCTCTTGTGGAGGCTGAATAGGTTCAGGTCCCGCAGTCTCTCACTGTAGGGTCTGCCCTGTTGTCCCCGGATCATGCGGGTGGCCCTCCTCTGGACCCTCTCCATGTTGTCCACATCCCTCCTGAAATGGGGCGCACAGAACTGGACACAATACTCCAGCTGCGGCCTGACCAGCGTCGCATAGAGGGGGAGGATCACCTCCCTGGCTCTACTCGAGATGCACCTGTGGATGCACGACAAGGTCCGGTTAGCCCTGCCAACCATGACCTCGCATTGTCGGCCCATGTTCATCTTGGAGTCAATAATGACACCAAGATCCCTTTCCGCCTCCGTGCTCTCAAGTAGGGAGTTCCCCATCGTATAAGTGTGCTGCTGGTTCCTACTACCCAAGTGCAGCACCCTGCACTTGTCCGTATTGAAACACATCCTGTTCCTGTTTGCCCACCCCTGTAACCTATCCAGATCCTTCTGCAATCTCTCTCTCCCTGCTAGCGTGCTCACCTCCCCCCAAATTTTGGTGTCATCAGCGAATTTAAACAGGTTGCTTTCCACCCCAACATCAAGATCGCTGATGAAGAAATTTTACAGGTTCTTTGGGTAGATGTGATATTTTTTATTAGACCAACTAATAGTTGGAAAAATTCTTCTTGCCAAACTTTAGGGCACAAACGCCTTTCTTCAGCCATAGGGAAAGTCTGGTGGTGTCTCTGTGCTTTCCTGGGTAGCATGGAAGCCAAAATGCAAAGTGCAGGCCTGTGAAAATACCAATGTGTGACAGTAAGGTTCAAAGGGAACGGGAGACAATAGGTGTGCAAAGGCAGTTGGGGGGCGGCGAGGTGATAACATGTAGCTGGTAAAATGCAGACAGTTTACCTGAGGTTATCAGATGGCAGGCAGGTTATAATGTGCCATAACTTTATGACCTGCCTGCCATCTGATAGCCCCAGGTGACCTGTCTGCATTTTATCAGCTACGTTTTATCACCTTCTCCCCCTGCACCATTACCTTTGCACACCTATTGTCTCCCGTTCCCTTTGAACCTTACTGCCACACATTGGCATTTTCACAGACCTACATTTTGCATTTTGTCTTCCATACTACCCAGGAAAGCACACAATCACCACAGACTTTCCCTATGCCTGAAGAAGGATGTTTGTGCCCAAAAGCTTGCAAAGAGCAATTTTTTTGGTCTAATAGAAAATATCACATCTATCCAAAGAACCTTGTCTGCCTGTCTTTAGACCAACAAGGCTACAACCAAACAACCCTAAGGGTCACAAAGAAATCCCTTCAAAACACTGAACATAGAGAGAGACTTCTGATTTACTGTTAATGGTGTGTCGTAGTGCAGGAGCTGGCGTTTACATGCAATTCCAATTGTTACGAGGTGAAGTGCTAGAGATGCTCCTAAGTATCTGTCTCCCTCTGAAGGCAGGAAGCTCACAGGTCTAGAAGGTGTCAAACTTAGAGGCGCATCTACACGTGCAATTAATTCAACTGAATAAACTCCGGTACAGTTCGTACTGGAGTTTATTGCTCCCGGGTGCCACGTTTACACATGTACCTGGAACTGCAGCACATTGAGCCAAGTCGGAGCAGCCCTGGCTAGCAGGGGACCTAGGGGGCCAGCCTGCCAGCCTGGGGTTGATCCAACCTGGCTCAAGGTGCTGCAGAGGGGCTGGCTGGGGTACAAGTGTGCTCCAGTGCAGGGCTAGCCAGCAGGCAGCCCCTGCACTGAAGCACCCTCATGCTCCAGTCATCTGGGGCAGCATCTACACATGCACTGTGGCACCCTAAATAATGCCACTGTAAGATAGTACTTGTGTTTACAAGTATTAACCTATAACAGCGTTTATTAGTTTACTGCAGTTTAATAGGACTGCACGTGTAGACACCGAGACTTTACTGTGGAGCTAATTAGGCAACTCCGCAGTAAGCATCTCATGTAGATGTGCCCAGAGGAATTTTCCTGTTGCAGGAGTTGTCAGGGTCTGTTATTTACTGGAGTACATGGGTTTACATTTGCTTCTTACTGGATGAATAGTTTGCAGGAATGTCTGTCCTCGTATATTTTGTATGAGTCGTCTTATGTTGAGTAGTCCCGGTGAGACAACTTAAGGAGGGACTGGCTCAATTCTCCCTGTATATTCCTCTGCCTTTACAGCTTTTCAGGCTGATTGAACCTTGATGACATGTTTTGATTTAATAAATACACGGGTTATATGCGCTGCAGGAAAATACTGTAGTGGGTGGTCATTGATAATGCTGCATGTGGAAACCAGTGGGAATTTGAACATCAACAGATGTTTGCTAACCCTACTTCAGTGTAAGTGTGGGTAGATGTACAGAAGAGTGAAAGAGGGTGCTGTTGCTCAGGTTAGCCCAGTGACACTCACCCTGCACTTTCATTTTTCTCCCTGTCTTTTAACATTTAGAGATGATTCGATCTGCCACACCATTCCCTTTAGTCAGTCTCTTTTTCATGTTCATTGGGTTTATACTGAGCAACATTGGACACATTCGGCCCCACAGAACCATCCTGGCCTTTGTATCGGGAATCTTCTTCATCCTGTCTGGTGAGTTTTATTAGCAAGATATGACCCTTGCGCTTCCTAACTCATCTGCCTTGTTTGCATATGGAGAGTAAGGCATCTACCTTGTATTTAAGGGAGAAATAATAGGAAAACTCTGCAAATGTATAAAGCTGCCATAAACTGGCATTAGTATTTTTTTACCATACTCATATTCAAAAGAAAATCCTAAATTTTAAGCTACATCTGTGCCACAGTTTTTAAAGTAGAATATTCCATTTAAGTCTATTAACATTTGCACATTATGGCTATACTCAGGAAAAAATCTGTCAAGAAAAATGGTTTTATGACTAAATGGACGCTTTTGGAAAAGAGTCCTTTCTTCTGAACTTTTCAAAAATTTGGGGGGGTTTCTTTAGAAGCTTTTTGTGAAAATATTCATAGGCATAATACTTTCCCAGTCAGCTCTAGTTGTGAGCCTGTCCCTTATGATATAGAATCATAGAAAATGAGGGTTGAAGAGACCTCAGGAGGTCACATCTAGTTCAACCCCCTGTGCAAAGCAGGACCAGCCCCAACTACATCATCCCAGCCAAGGTTTTGTCTACCTGGGTCTTAAAAACCTCCAAGGATGGAGAGTCCACCACCTCTCTGGGTCACCTGTTCCAGTGTTTTACTACCCTCCTAGGGAGAATATTCTTCCTGATATCTAACCTAAACTTCCCTTGCTGCAACTTGAGCCCATTGCTCCTTGTTCTGTCATCTGCCCCCACTGAGAACAGTCCAGCTCCATCCTCTTTTGAACCTCCCGTCAGGTAGTTGAAAGCCGCTATTAAATTTCCACCCCCTGCCCTCCCCTCAGTCTTCTCCAGACTAAATAAGCCCAATTCCCTCAGCCTCTCATCACAAGTCATGTCCCCCAGCCCCCCAAACATTTTTGCCACCCTCCACTGCACTCTCTCCAATTTGTCCACATCCTTTCTGTAGTGGAGGACCCAAAACTGGACACAGGACTCTAGATGTGGTCTCACTAGTGCCGAATAGAGGGGAAGAATCACTTCCCTTGATCTGCTGGCGATGCTCCTACCAATGCAGCCCAGGATGCCATTAGTCTTCTTGGCACCAAGGGCAAACTGCTGGCTCAGATTCAGCTTATTGTCCACTGTGACCCCAGGTCCTGCTTTTCTGCATATCTATATGATACAGATAAGGTTCATAGTACACAAGTCTTAGCCTCAGAAATTCCAGCTACTAAGCAAAAGAAAGTCCATATTAATATTACACTGCATGATATAACCTATGATTAATGATGGAAAAATATTTGATCCTGAAACAATTTTGGTACTTCCAGAATTTTTTTAGTATTCTCTAAGATTATCTTTTAGTATATGTCTTGGTGCCTTTTGGGGCTCAGAGAACTCTTCATTGGGCCTCCAAGTCATTCATTATGGGATAGAAGTGCTAGCCCCTTAACTGTCTGGCTTGGTACTCAATTGATGTCATGAGATATGGAATTTTGCGCTCAAAATCTTGGACTCCCATGTTTTAAAATACAGGCCATTAATTTCTTATAGTAAATCAGACGCATGAGATTTTAGAACTTTAAAAGAATCATTCTCCATGAGACAAGTGAATGTTTTATTCATAATGTTAGCATAGTGCTAAACAAATAGCTGTGACAGCTAAGTCTTAAAGCATTTTTGTACACAGAGTACTTGTAATTCAGAAGACCTTGCTTAAGAACATAATGGTTTGACTACAATGACAAATGCACCAGTTAGCTCAATGAGGTGAAGCATGTTTCTCTAATTATTCTAAGTGCAGCCTACTTGCTTTAAATTTTAGGTATGAATTTTGCCTTAAAAGAAAAAGGAACATGAACGTTTTGTATTTTTGCTGGGGAACATCTTCCTGCTGTAATTCTGCCCCATCTCTTTCCAGGTTTATCTCTTGTGGTGGGGCTGGTATTGTACATATCCAGCATCAACGATGAGATGTTGAACAGAACCAAGGACTCTGAGACTTACTTCAGTTATAAATATGGATGGTCATTTGCTTTCTCGGCTATCTCTTTCCTTCTGACAGAGGTAGGTACTTGGCCATGTGAGCTCTCTGAAGCGCCTGTAAGAAGTATGTTTAGTTCCCAGGAGTTGATCATTAGTCAAGCTTCGTAAAAAGGCTATTATGGAGAGCAAGATTGTGATGGGGCTTTTAAATGCAAGATCATTTCATCATTCATATAGGGAATGCATTTGCACAGTAAGAGAAACAGAGGGCTTGATCCTAGGACCTTCAACTGAGCCTGCATCCTTTGTCAGATACTGCAATGTAGCAGATGGCGTACATCATTCAGGAGGAGAATGCTTTCGTAACGGGGCTGTTATCCTTGCTCTATAGAGGGGAAGAGAAATGAAATTTCTCTGTGGCTTTACTGAAGTCACAAACAGGGCAGGAGGACCCTAGTTTCCATGCACCCACACTGCTGTCCTACTCTTCTGTCCAAGTTCGCTCCATCGTTTCATGGACATTTTCTTCCATGGGGATGCCAATGCAGTCCAGAAGTAGCATTTGCTCCTTAGGGTTAACTGTAAGGCCAGTCCTATTTGCTACGAGTCACAGCTTGTTTCTTTCTCCCCTTCAGAGTGCCGGCGTGATGTCCGTTTACCTGTTTATGAAAAGATACACCGCTGAGGAGATCTACAGACCTCACCCTGGCTTCTATCGCCCACGGCTTAGCAACTGCTCCGATTACTCCGGGCAGTTCTTGCACCCAGATGCTTGGGTACGCGGACGCAGCCCGTCTGATATTTCCAGTGACACTTCCCTGCAGATGAACAGTAACTACCCTGCTCTACTTAAATGTCCAGATTATGATCAAATGTCATCCTCCCCGTGTTGAATGGCAATTAACTCCTTCAGCTACTTGTGATGAGGAGCAAGCCCCCACTGTGTCCTGACTTGGTTCATTGTTTGTAGGCCGCTCTTCCTTGGTTTATTGTTTGTAGGCCGCTCCTCCAGGACAATTGTCTATTTATAGGATAGTCAACCATGTTAAACATTGGCTAAAGAGATTTCTTTCCAAATGATGCTTACTTGCATATCCTCATCCTCCAGCCATTCCACACACACAGCCCTTTGAAGAGAGTAGCAGCTTTGGGTGTGGAATACATCCAGGATCGGGCTTAGCGAGTATCTGATCTCAAAGAGCTACTAATAGGAAAAAAAAAATGTTTTTTGGTAGGCAGCAAAAAGTGTGTGTTTTGATGGTATTCATTTTACTGTGGATTTCTTGTCATGAAGGATATGTGTACATTTCTAAGTAATAGTAACAATTACAAAAGTGCAAATTGTGTCTTGATTTGAGATTTACTATGATAGATGTTTCATCGTTGCTGTGTATTATTTCTAATCAGGTAGTAATGATCAATAACCATCTCAGTCAACTATACCTCACTATGGGATTTTCCAAAACCTATACAGGAGTTAGATGCCCGCTTTCCATTGACTTTTGATGGGATCTGAGAACAAACTTCTTTAGCATCTTCTGCAAATCATACCCCCAATCACTCATGTTAAATCTCTGTCCACTATGACCATGGTGTTACTTTATACTGTTAGTGCAAACTACTGATATCACAAATGCAAACTATTGAGGCCAGATCCACACTTGGTATAAACCTTCAGAGTTCTCTTACTTCATTGGAGCTATTTTGGGATACCGCAGATAAAAATCCACCAGAGTTGCTATATCTCACAAAAAGGGCATGCATTATTTCAAGCTGTACCTATTGTTTATATTACTATATGCCTTATTTTGTCTCTTTGTTGTTCTTAAAGTCCATGCGATCCACTTTGGTCTTGGAAGACTGAGAATTAACAGTGTGCGCCTAGCAATCTATTGTACATAACATTCAGAGAACTGAAAGGTGAAAATCCATATAGGGTACTGTTATGAAAAGGATAAGATTACTGAAAGAGCTGTGTCAACTGTACAGTTTCTAACCTTGGTTATTTTTTTTTTTACCACTTTGGAAAATGTGGGTTTGTAAATAGCAAAATCCTACAGGAGTTCTTTGTATATCTGAGTTTTCAGTTTGACTGTACTATTTTACTTCAATTAAAACAAATGTAATGTACTGACTTGCATTCTCCTTGCAATGTGTTAGTAATAAGCATTGCTCTATTTTATTATTTTTTTACAAAATATTCCAAAACACAGTCCTAATCTTGTACTAGGCCCCAACAGTGTGGACTCAATGCATACTGAAGTCAGTGGGATTCCTTGCCCCAAGTATACGAGTCTCTGCTAGCAGATACAGTATCAGGGCTAATCCCTATCCATTCCCTCCAGGGCAGAACAATAATGTATGTACAGTTTCATTTATTACATTACACAACCAGGGCATCGTTTTATAAATAGAGTTTTATTTATCTCTTAATTCCTGTACTTTCTTCCCTAGGGCACCAGTTTCTCATTAAAAAAGGAATGGATACATTTGATGTAATTAAGCATCAGAGCAACATCAGCTTTTACCTTCTTAACTTAGCACTTGCTGTTTATTATTCATAAACAGAAAGTGATCTGCTCTGGCCACGGTAGGGATTTAGGAACTGACCTGGTGTCGCCATGTCCTGAAAATGCTCCCGGTCCCCGATTCAGGTGAACCCCCCTCGTTAGAGCAGAAATTAGATCTGTGCTGAAATTTCACCAGAGCCTCAGTGGCTAGTACTTAGTCACAGACTGCAGAGGAATGAATGAGGTGCTTCTGTGCCTTGTAGCCACAGTGAATTAATTGGGACAATCAATGCAGTCACTTTCCCTTGTGCACTGGGATTTGTAGGCTCCAGCTCCAGTCCATACAGGGTGCATCTACACATGCGCCCCACTGCGCAGTTGGTGCCAATACTGCAAAGTCCCGGCAGTGCACGAGTCGTTTCCAACCCTACCGCGCAGTACCTCATTGCTACCGTGCAATAGTAAGTGCCCGCCGACGCTATGTCGCCATAGATTGTCAGTACAGCAACGTAGCATCTTGTGTAGATGCGCCCACAGTAGTGTTACATGTCACTGCAGTTTTGTCAGCTGTTAAATTTTCTGACTTTAATTGTTCATCTTGTGAACATTTGCTTACAGAATGAATTCAGAACAGAACCATTTTTATCTGTGTGAATTAGGATAAAATCCTAATTAAGGAAAACCTTCCCCCCAAATGGGGTGAAATAGGAGGGAAAAAAATTAATTCCAGAAGAAAAAGCTATATCCACATTTGTCAAAATAAGTGCCCACTGAATGAGGCTACAATGGGATTATTCTAAATCATCAATGAAGAGTTTCCAAAGTGAACTGTCAACTTAATTTTAATTAATTCCAGCATCTTTGTGTTGAAACCTGAGAAATACTGTTTGTTATTACCCGCGCCTGTTAAAGAAGGCTGGGGACAGGAGAGGAGGAAAGAAATCATCCTTATTACAAAAATCTTCTGCTGGGCTGCTTAAAGCTCAGAATAATTCATGAGCTCAGGCTATGAAAAAAACCACTGCATGGATCATTTTGCCTCCAAATAGAGTTTGAGCTTAGTGGAGGTGTAAAAGCTCCTCTTCAGGGGCCATATCTCTGCAACACAAGTTCTAAAATGTTTGTTTCAGGGTGTGTGAACAACTTGGGTGACTTTGAAGAGAGATTTTTTTGTTCACTGAAACTTCAGGCGCAAATTGCTTCCCATTGCATGTTATTTCTTCTGGGCATATTTCAATGGGAAACTTTCTAATGGCTTTCATAGGAGCTTCTTCCTGTTCACAGAAGTTATGGAGGGGCGCCTAGAGTCCGAATGAGGGGTTACTCAAGTCCAAAAGGATTGAGAACCACTGGGTTAGATTTAAGCACAAGTGTAAGTGCTGTGTTGAACTAGGACCCTCAACTGTCTAAATGGCTGCAGAGATGCCTGTGGGCAAGTGTGCTGAGTCTGGCTAACTCGCTGCTTAAACCTTCATGAGGATACCCCCAACCCTATCCTCTAAGCAAGAACAACGCCAGTCAGTCTGCCTCCATCAGCATGTAGCACACAAATGCCGTTGCTTCTGCACTCCTCGCTGGGAGAATAGCTCTAGCCCAGTTTGCTGGCGTTGGTGTTGCTATTTGCTGATGGCTCAGATGTTGCTTTTGTTCTCTCAGCTACAATAGTCATTTTATACTCTTGGTCAGGTTGTTTGAGGGGCAAACCCCAGAGAGAGTATTCTGGACGCTCAAAAGAATAGCAGATCACTCAGAAGAGTTGTCTCCCATGCCTGTGTTCGCTAAGGCAGTAGAGCCCCGAAGGGTATATAAAAAATAAACCAAAACAGTAAAATTGTTATGCAACACATTTCTTTAGACTGGCCTAGAGATCAGATTTATATAAGGAGCTCAAAAAAGAGCCAAGGGTAGAATTTTCCTTTGTACTGATTTGATTTTTGCAACTTAGAAATCTCCCAGTTTTTACAGAACGTCTGACATACAGAGATGCTGCACCTTCCACAACCTCCCAGTTTTTACCAGAAGTTGAGAGGTAAATTAGAAATGTAATTGTTTTATTTCACTGGCATGCCAAGGGAGAACAGCTTTGTTTTACAGCTCCAAACTTCCATACATGCATTCAGTGAACCCAGGCCGGTTTGAATGCATGATCGCTGAAAGAACTGCATCAAATGTCTGGTTCCTACCTTGTGCCATGCAGGGAAGTGTGCTGCTGGAAATGGTCGTTGTCATGCTGCTCTGTGACACTGTGGATCTTGAGCTCTTGGAGAATCAGCTCAGCACAGTGAGTTCGTGGTTGGCTGCAGTGGGACATCAAATGCATAGCATTTTGCAGGAGGTCTTAACATTGGTAAGAATTGCAACAACCGCCAACCTCCCTCCATCAGTCTGCAGTGCACGGATGTGGTTGCAAATAGGTAAGTCGCATTAGTGCACATGTACATGCACTAATGCGCATTAACGTGGTGTATGTCAATGGACGGACACTGCGTTAATGTGCATTCGCTCATCTGCACATGCAAAGGCACATTAAGTTTAAGTGTGCATAAATACACATGTAGACATGCCCATTTGTTGCATCCTACCCCATCTGTACCACCAGTGATTCCCATTCCTAGATACCATTTCTCTCTTTCTCTCACTCTCATCTCAATATTGCCTCCTGTTTCTGCATCCTCTTAATATTGGTTAGTTCTAGTTACTAGAAGGTAATAAATAGGAAGCAAAGGGAAGAAGGATGGTCTTGTAGCTAAGGTCCTGGCCTGGGACTCAACAGTTGCTGACTGTGTCACAAATTATGCTGAGACTCTGGGCAAGTCACTCATGCACACCGTCTCTGTCTTTCTCAATTGCCTACCTAACGAATGGGAATAATACTGCTTCCCATCTAGTGTTATGAGGCTAAATGTCTTGGAGGTGCATTGTTTGAAGTCAGATAAGCAGAGACTCACATTTTGCACAGAGCAAGGAATGCATGCTTGAGGACTGTCAGGAGAGAGAGTGTGTGTGTGTGTGTGTAAATGTGTACTTGCAAAGAACATTTTTTCCAACTGCTCAACTGGTCTAATAAAAGATATCATATTTACCCACATAACCTTGTCTGCCTTTGTCCTTAGACCAACGCGGCTACAACCAACACCCCCATTTTCATAAGCTCTTATGCACCAGGCCCTTCACATTGTTCTCACCTAACAACAGGGCTTAAAAAAATCTAACTCTGCCTTGTTTCAATTAAGGCTCCCCTGCTCTCCAAGGCTTTTAAATCCTACTTCAGGCTGAAGCTGTTTCCTTCACCTGCCATCAGCCTCCCACTCAAGATACACAAATGCATTTCAGCAGGTTGGGTGACATATGGAGTTCACGACACTGGAAGAAATTCACAGCAACTAAGAAATAGCATGTGGGAGGTAACTGAGCCTGCAGCCT